TTTTTTTTTTTTTTTTGCTGTATCCTTTTTAAAGCAGTCTGAAGGGACTAAAGGAGGAGTGCATGAGGATCTCCGTTTTAAATTTTTACGTATAATTGTCTTAGTTTTATAATTCAATGCATGGCTTAGAGTTTAGAGGTCTGTGAGAAGAAATATTTAAGATGCGTTCCATTTAATAGAAACATGTTTCAGAAACTGTATTAATGATATACTGCATTGGAATGGCATTTGTCATAGTACAAAATTTAACTAAATGCATGTGTTTAATTCCAGTTTTGAAACAAAATTGTGTCAGATATTCTCTGATCTCAATGCTACTTATCGTACAATACAAGGCCATTTGCAGTCTGAGAATTTCAAGGTATGTGTATCATTGTTTATATGACACTTTAAAAGGTGAATTAGTAATATACTTCTTCACAAAAGCATGGGTAAATAGCATGGCTAACACACAAATCCCTTTGTATTTATACAGTTCCATTTCATTTCTTTATCACAAAGGCCCCTCCAGAAGTTACTTTTATTTTACTACAAAATGTGCAACACTACCAAAAATAAAGTGGTCTGGGTGGCTAGGCGTTCAAAGCTCCTTAGCCTGAGAATGACAGAATTGACACAAAGACACACTCTACAGCAATGGGGCTGTCACGATCAGCCCCTGCTACCTCCATATGCACTGGAGATGAGGGTGAAGGGGCTTCTTGTAACCAGTGGCAGAATCTGATGTGGGGACATAGGCCCGGCCCCCCAATCAGCCCCTGCTGCAGGGAGACTCCTTACCCTTGCCATCTAACCCAGGGCTGTTTTTGGGCATGCTGCAGGGTTGGGGGTAGCTCTGATTGCTGTTCTCTATCCCACGGGGATTGTTCTCTGTGGCTGCCTGAGTGCTGGGACTTTAAAGGATGTTCCAGCAGCTCAACATGGGGAATCTAGGGATGTAAATATTTTTTAAAGAAGTATCATTTAACCTGCTCTAATTATGTCAGTTAAGTGGTTAACAGATAACACAATAGCTCAGGCATGACTGCTACAGAAAGCTGCTCCTGGGGCCTCTGGGAGGAGGAGGGGTTGGGGGGGAAGGGAGAGTCAGTGGCAAGCCTAGCTACTTCATGTGGGTAGCAGCAGGCAAGGAGCTTTCCCAGTCTGATGCAGCTGCTGGTGCTGCTGGGAGGGAGGAGCACCTGTGAAAGAGCAGCTAATTGATTAAGTCTTGAGTCATTAGGCTGCCTGCTGCATTCCTGTTTACCCTCATAGGCCAGGGGGTACTAGTCCGCCCCCCCCCCC